TTCCTTTTTATTATTAATATAATACTTCTGCTTTGAAATTATTACTAATTGGCAATATCTATAAGCTACTTCATTCCATTAAACAAATGCACACATTCACATGCATACAATTATGCAATCACATTTTGAGAAAAATGTTAAAATTTGCATGCTTTATATAGATAAACCAAAGTGATGCTAGCAGATTTGAAACTATATATTAGAATTTTATATGAAATATCATGTCACAAATGGAAAATGTTTTCTTATACAGCTAATTCTACAAACATATACCTGACAGAGTATAAGGGAAAAATTGGTATAAAACTTTCAAGTGATAATTTTCTATGTAGTTACACTCAAGCCATCTATAATGATAAATTAAAAGACTCTTTACCTGTTAGACCTGAGTTCAGGCACTCAAGAGTTTCGTATTTCTCTTGCAGAAGCTGATGGCAATACTAATCCCTGCACTGTGTAGGGAGGTACATTCCTTGTACTGGCTTAAATGCTAGTGATTTCACCAACCCTTGAAGTGCAGAACAGTAAAAAAACAGTTTTCAGCCGTTTTTCTTACTGATTTCTCATTTTTTAAATATTACAAAGTAGGATCTCAAATAGGTTTTCTTAATTAATTATATTTAAAAGACAGTGCCTTAGTTTAAAGAGACACATGCCAATAGGTCTTTCAGGATTACTGCATATATCACAAGATGGCCTTTTTACACCCATTAAAAACTCACACAAAGAAGCAACAGTTTTATGCCTTCAAAGAATTTTCTGATTTTACCTTAAAGCAACAAAATTTAGTGGCTACAAATATCTAAATCAATCTTGCAGAAAGCCAATTGTAAGCATTAATGGGTACTAGAAGTGTGATAAGTTGGATCAAATAATGATGTCTTATTTACTCATTTATTTCCCTGTCATCAGCATACAGCTTGGGAAAGAGCTGGCACTGAAAAATCATAACTGCTAATTTTGAAGAAACAACACATTATATTTCCCCAGAAGGTAAAAATCACTAATTGCTAATATATTTAAGGGCAAATTAAGATCTGTGTGTGTGGGCTGGGGATGTGGCTCAAGCGGTAGCGTGCTCGCGTGGCATGCATGCAGTCCCGGGTTCAATCTTCAGCATTATATACAAACAAAGATGTTGTGTCCGCCAAGAACTAAAAAAATAAATATTAAAATTCATTCTCTCTCTCTCTGCCTCTCTCTTTAAAAAAAAATTAAAATAAAAAAAGATCTGTGTGTGTGTATGTATGTGTGTAGTATACAAGGCCAAATCTAACCCTGTTGCTGACAAATTTTAAAATACCACATTAATACCATTTCCCATTTTCTTATACTCTAAAACTAAATGGGTTTCTATATGACTCCAGGTTTTTCGTGTTGCTATAGAAGAGAAGAGATGAGAAAAGTACCTTACCTAATTCTGAAGGAAAATAATTTATGTACTTAAAAAAGTTTCATATTGTATTTGAATCTGTCTCCAAATCCTTTCATTTTCTATAAATGTGTATATTTCTCTTGAGTCACTTATAGAACATTAACTCGGCTTCCCTAAGAAATGAATCACTGGGCTGGGATTGTGGCTCAGCGGTAAAGCGCTCGCCTACCACATGTAAGGCCCTGGGTTTGATCCTCAGCACCACATAAAAATAAATAAGTAAGGGTATTGTCTACAACTTAAAAAAAAGAAAGAAAGAAAGAAATGAATCACTGGGGCTGGGGTTGTGGCTTGACAGTAGAGTGCTCGCCTAGCCCGAGCAAGGCGCTGGGTTGAATCCTCAGCACCATGTAAAAAATAAAATAAAATAAAGGTTTTGTATCCAACTACAACTAAAATGTATATATTAAAAAAAAAGAGGGCTGGGGATGTGGCTCAAGTGGTAGCACGCTTGCCTGGTATGCGTGCGGCCCGGGTTCGATCCTCAGCACCACATACAAACAAAGATGTTGTGTCTGCCGAAAACTAAAAAATAAATATTAAAAATTCTCTCTCTTTAAAAAAAAAATTTAAAAAAAAATATTAAGATTCTCTCTCTCTCTCTCTAAAAAAAAAAGAAAAAGAAAGAAAATTTTTTAAAAATAAATAAATAAAAAATAATAATAAAAAAAGAAATTAATAATTATAAATTTAGCACAGATAATTCAGTTATGCACACTCAAAACTTTTGACCTCTGAATTCTTTCCTGGCTTTTTAGTAGACGAAGATAAAAAACAAATCAAGTTCACACTATGTCAGCTGGAGGATGTACATTTAATTTTCTGGATCTCTGGGCACCATTTTAAAACCCTATATTGAATTTCAACGTTCTCTACCTATATCAAAGAAAGCTTGCCTTGATGTAATTGGATGAAGTAATTCCATTTTCTTCACAGTTAAAAATAAAAATCATCCCTTCATTTACCATATAATTTTTAAGAAATTGGCACTCACTCAAGTCCATTTGAAGTATATGTTACTTTAAACTTAAAACCATGGCAGTTCACCTTCACAATCAGCTGAAAATAACATAATCATGGCAATAATATGCACAAAAAACTGCTACTACTTCAACTTGGTATGGACAAGATAATTAAAGAAAAATACATGACATAAATGTTGCCAGAGCAAGGCTTATACCTGTAGGCTAAATCAAGAGGATTGTGAATTCCAGGCCAGCCTGGACAATTTACCAAGACCCTGTCTCAAAATAAAAATAAAAATGACTGACAATGTAGCTCAGTGGTACAACCGCCCTGGTTCAATCCCTAGTACCACCAAAAATAATAATGATAATCTTTTTTGCCAGGTCTTGGAATAAACCTTGTATGCTTCTTTTCAGCATTAATGTAAAGGAGAAAAGAAATAACAATACAAAATGTAAATTGAAAGATCAAATTTTTAACTTATATCAAATGAGAGGACTTAAGAGGAAGTCTCAGAGTAAACAATCAACCATTCTGATAAGAAATGCCAAGGTAAAGTCAAAAGTAAAAGGCAATTCAGCTCCAATATTAATGTACTTGTAAAAGCTTATATCAAACTTGACATCTTTTTCTTTTCAAATTTTTTAAAATATTTACTTTTTAGTTGTAGTTGCATATCTTTAATTTATTTATTTAGTTTTATGTGGTGCTGAGGATCAAACCCAGGGCCTTGCCCAGGTTAGGCGAGCACTCTACTGCTGAGCATGTCACATCCCCAGCCCTCTTTTTTTTTTCTTTTTTTAAAATATTTATTTTTAATTGTAGTTAGACACAATACTTTTATTTTATTTATTTATTTTTATGAAGTGCTGAGGATCGAACCCAGGGCCTTGCATATGCTAGGTGAGTGCTCTACTCCAGCCCCAAATTTGACATCTTTTTTTCTTTTAATATATTTTTTTTAGTTATACATGGACACACATCTTTATTTTGTTTATTTATTTATTTTTATGTGGTGCTAAGGATCAAACCCAGGGTCTCACATGTGCGAGGCGAGCACTCAAACGCTGAGCCACAACCCCAGCCCAAACTTAACATCTTTTAAAAGTGAAGCTTGGGGCTGGGATTGCGTTCAGCAGTAGAGCGCTCACCTAGCAAGTGCAAGGCCCCTGGGTTTGATCCTCAGCACCACATAAAAATAAATTATAAATAAAGATATTGTGTCCAGTTACAACTAACATTAAAATTTTTTTTTAAAAAAGTGAAGCTTACGTGAGAATAAGATTTGGGACTCAAACTGATTATATCTTATAGAAGTTCAAGTTCTCATGTTAAAGATATTAATAGTTTTCATACTCTATGCCACTCTTCATTTTAACATGTTTTTCCTGAAAAACCAGTCCTATCGGGCTGGGGATGTGGCTCAAGTGGTAGCGGCGCTCGCCTGGCATGTGTGCGGCCCAGGTTCGATCCTCAGCACCACATACAAAGATGATGTGTCCGCCGATAACTAAAAAATAAATATCAAAATTCTCTCGCCCTCTCTCATTCTCTCTTTAAAAAAAAAAAAAAAAAACAGTCCTATCATCTAGCCTTCTAACCTTCAAATTTGTTCTCATAAAGTATTTTTCTCTTAATTATAAGTTAAGACATTATCTTAAAAATTTAAATCTAAAGTGTGGAGGAGTAGAAAAACTCATATAAACTAAGCTCCTTTAATGAAACTTCCATGTTCAAAGTACTTAATTTTTAAAGTAACTCATCAGCTTTATTATATATATTGTTATACTGATTTTACAGTTACGAAAATCTGATTTTATTATGGTCTTAAAAAAGTTAATGCTTAAAGCAGAATTTAAGTTGTGACATTTCTGCATCTCAATAAGATTATACTACTCTGGGCTGGGGCTATAGCTCTGTGATAGAGCACTTGCCTAGCACATGTGAGGCACTGGGTTCAATCCTCAGCACCACACAAAAAATAAATAAATAAAGTTATAAAAAAATGTAAAAAAGAAATTATACTATTCAAATATTTCTCTTTTTTTCTTAGAGAGAGAGAGAGAGAGAGAGAGAGAGAGAGAGAGACAGAGAGGGAATTTTTTTAATACTTATTTTTTAGTTTTCAGCGGACACAACATCTTTGTATGTGGTGCTGAGGATCGAACCCGGGCCACATGCATGCCAGGCGAGCATGCTACCGCTTGAGCCACATCCCCAGCCCTCAAATATTTCTCATAAACATCTTTTGTTTTTGTTTCCCCCCCCCAAAAAAAAATCTATAAAATATTCTTTTCTTTTCTGAGTGTGTATTTGTGTATGTCTATGTGTGGTACTGGGGATTGAATCCATGGGTGCTCTACTACTGAGCCACATCCCCAGCCCTTTTTATTTTGAGACAGGGTCTCACTACCCAGGCCGACCTCAAAACAGCAATCCTCAATCTCCCAAGTACCTGGGATAATAAACATGCGCCACAGCTCCCAGATTTTTCTATTTTTAAGGTAACAAACATTGACATCTTAACCTGAAAGTGTGTATCACATGTACACACACACACACACACACACACCAAATTAAAATGAAAAACAGCTTTTACCTTCATCTCCTTCTGGTGCATATGAAGCTGTAATAATGTCAATATCAGCACAATTCATCACAATCTGATTGGTCGCCTGTCTCACCTAAAGGGAAAAGAAAGCAATCAAAAATAGCCTATATTAGTAATATGTACATCTTCATTTTGGACTAATATTGCAGGCAATTTACTGCAGTCTTAACTGCCAGACTTAACTAAATCTGGACGAGTATTTATGCATCAAAGGTAGAAATAAAAGAACAGTCTTAATATAATTCATTATTTTCCAAGTTATAGTTTTTGTTTTATTTTGGTACTAGGGATTGAACCCAAGGTTACTTAACCACCGATTACATCCTCAGCCCTTTTTAATTTTTATTTTGAGACAGGGTTTCACTAAGCTGCTCAGGGCCTCACTAAATTGCTGAGGCTGGCCTTGAACCCCCAATCTTCCTGCCTCAGCCTCCTGAGTCACTGAGATTACAGGTGGGTGCCACAGCACTCAACTCCAAATGTTTCAATAACATTTATTATTATTAATAAATTTTTTAAATAATTTAATAAATTTATTTCACACTATTTAAACATCTAACCAATGAAACAAATAAAAGCATCTTTTCTCCCTACACTGGGATTTAAAACAATTTTAATTAATTTTTTTTATTTCAAAATTTTTTTAAATTAGAAAACTTTTTTAAATTTATTTTTTACTTGTAGTTGGACACAACACCTTTGTTTTATTTATTTATTTATTTTTATGTGGTGCTGAGGATCGAACACAGGGCCTCTCACACATGCTAGGCAAGGGCTCTACTGCTGAGCCACAACCGCAGCCCAGAAAACACTTTTTATGTGTTTTTTTAGTTGTAGATGGACACAATATTTTTATTTTATTTATTTTTATGTGATGCTAATGATGGAACCCAGTGCTTCACATATGCTAGGCAAGCACTCTACCATTAAGCCACAACCCCAGTCCTAGAAAACATTTTTTACATACTGTAAATTACATATTTTAACCCAGCATGAGGTTTTCTTTGAGGATACAAGAAAAAGGTATATCTCATATTATAAGGTCAAAACTTCATAAGAACCTATTCAAATATTTCTTTTCCCAAAGAAACACTATTCCCAAATGTAATGACCCACACTAATGACTCACGACCCAAGATAAAATTGGTTTTTAAGATTATCTTATTTTCTTCTGATCCAAAAAACTAAAATATAGTGGTATCCCCCGCCTTTGTCCATGGTTCCCTGGCAGCCTGAAAATTCTAGAAGTAACAATTCTTAAGTTTTAAACTGTCCACTTTCACATGATAAAATCTCATTCTGTTTCTTCTGGGAATCAGCAATTTGTCTATCATTGCCAGGTTGTACACACTACCACAGTTAGTAACTTAAAAACCTTAAAAGCTAGTCTAGGTTATCAGATTGACTACTGAGTTCTGAAGTGCTTGTATTCAAATATTGACCTTATTTAACTTCATAATGGCCCCAGGGTGCAAGAGTAGTGATACAAAGGAGGTATCTAGGTATTAACCATGAAGGACAGTTTAACTCTGGTACAATGTGGCAACACTGCAGGGCATATGGGGGAAAACACAGTATATAAAGGTTCAGTACTACCTGTGGTTTCAGGCATCCACTAGGGATCTTGGAACATGTTCCTCATGTACAATGATGGACTACTGAATAGACACAATGAAAAATCCATTCCATTCTTCCTCATGCCCTAAAGATACCACTATCCTAAGGCTAATGTATCTCTTTCCCATGTATGTTTCAGTACTTTAGATACACATATATAAGGACCTATAAATAATTTTAATTTTACATAAATGGTATCAAAATGTGTACAATCTTACAAACTTTCACACTTGCTTTTTTTATTTAGCACCCCCCCCAAAACACAAACACACACTGGAAGTGAACTCAGGGGAGTTTTTCCACTGAGCTACATCTCCAATCTCTTTAATTTTTTTTTTTTTTTTGAGGTAGCGTCTCACTAAGTTGTTGAGGTTAGCCTTGAACTTGCAATGTTCCTGCCTGCCCAAGCAGCTACAATTATAAGGAGGTGCCACCATTCCTAAATCATTTAATATTATATTTGGGGGACAGACAATGCTTATAGAAACTAACGTAATTAATTAATTTTTTTTAATTTTAGTTGTAGATGAATACCTTTATTTTACTTTATTTTATATGTGTTGCTGAGGATCAAGCCCAGTGCCTCACAAAGACTAAGCAAGTGATTTAACTCCAGCCCCTAATTCATTAATTTTTGATATAGTAGTATTCCATTCTTTGAATAAACCAATTATTTATCTAATCCCTTCCTAAAGGAAGTAAGTAAGGTTGTTTCCACTTTTTTGTTTAAATGATGTTCTTGTTTGAAGAAAATAGTACTACAATAAACATCTTGATCCATGCTTTCTCATACACACATGGAATAATTATTCCAGGGAAAGTAGCCTAACTGTGAGCTTTCTGCAACTCAGGAGGCAGAGGTTGGGGGATTGCAAGTTCTAGAGCAGCATGGGCAACTTAGCGAGACCTGTCTCAAATAAAAAAAAAAA